CCGCCGCGGACGCAGCTTCCGAAGGCGGGTTTTGCGCCTTGCGCCGTAGGGATCCTAACTGCAGTGCTCGCAGGGAGGGTGGTGCCCATCCTTACTGCTGCACCCAAATCCTAGATTCTACAAGATCCCTCGAGAATCCCCGCGATCTTCCGAATTCACTCTGTTTTGATGCACCGAAGGCTATTTACATTGCTGCCAGGGTACAGTTTTTTCCAAAAATGTTTTAATTTCCTCAAAATTACCAAAAGTGGGGTACCACAATAATCAAAAGTATTTTCTCTTTGAATCTTGAATATGTGCGAAAAAAAATAAAAATACTCACTCAAAACTTCTAGAACTATCATAATTACTCCGTCAAGTATAATTATAATAGCTCAACTTAATCATAACTTGATAAACTTAGTTATAATTAGCTAGGTTTAGTTATAACAAAGCTAATCTTCATCAGTTTTTTGGCTACTTCTAACAATTATTTCACACATAAAACAACCAAACTTACAATACAAACTTGCAATTCAAGTCTGAATTCTTAATAGGATTATTAGATTTCAAGTTTTGTTATACACTAATGATAGCATATCAATTTTACTAGTATTACACTCAAGTTTATTGACAAAGTCTTGAGTGTAATACTTTTTTATAAGAAGAAGGTTTTTTTTTTTATTCTGAAATCAACTTAATATTATAACCATACTCGGTATCAATATCATAGTTTTCAAGAATGTTTGAATCAACTCATAATCATTACCTTGTAGGAGCTCTAGTTATATAATACGATGATATCTTCATACAAAAATCTGGTTAATCTCTATGATCTGATTCAAATACTTAAAACTTACCAACAATAAATTTTTTTCTAATTCCTATTGTACAGCAATTTATCCCATTTGTAATGGAGCTTTTTCTTATGTCATATCAGTGATAACGTAATCATCAACGCCTCAACAATAAAGGTGAGTGGAGATTTTTACTCGTTAATTGAAATGATTAAAAAAACTTTACTCTTTTAATGATCTTGGTTCCTTGAAAAAATAATCCTTATTGACAATAACTTTACAGATTATTAAATCTCATAGTCTATGCTACTTCACTATACTTTATATTCAAAAAAACAACGTTTATTAGATGTAAAATTCAACTTTGTCTTATTTTTCTTAGGTATAAAGTAAAAATCATATAACCAAAGATTTTCAAAAAATTGTAAATTGTTATCCGTTAGTGTATTTCTTTCAGGTATTAGGGTATTAAGTGCACTAGAAAGAGAAAGATTTATCAAAAACACCGTAGTATTAACGTTTTGAACTCAAAATTTATATGATAAACTAGATTGATTCAACATACTACAAACCTTTTTTTAAATTATTTGGTTCAGCCTCAAAAAAAAACATTTTGTTGTGTAATATAAGATGACATATTAATTTCTTTACTTTCTTTTAATTTCAAAACTCCTCAAAGTATATTTTGCCATTATCCATACATAGATATTTCACTTTGTGTTCAATCTAAGTCTTAACTTGAGCTTTTCAAGTCTTAAAAATTATCAACATCTTAGACTTGTGTGTGATAAAGTAAATTGAATCAAACCTTCAATACTCATTAATAAATGATAAATAGTAAAACTTTCAAGAAATTGTGGCTTTGAGATTGAATCTTCACACGTCACTATTTACATTTTCAAATAATACATTGGAACTATGACTTTTATCTCCAAAGGTTTGTAATGGATGCATGCTCATAATAAAATATATGCAAAACTCCAAATCAACTCCAGTTAACAATTTTTTCTTGTCTAGGAGCGACATGTATATATTATTCATCTTTCATAGTCTTGAATGTCACACATGAGAAATATCAACTCGAGATTAAATGAAGTTAATTTTATTACATATACAAGTGCTCTCTAGCAATTAAAATTGTTGTGCTTATGACCTATAAAAATAATTCTATCACGTACTCTAACCTGAAGCATTCCTTTCTTAGAGCTTCATTGAGAAACTTTTGACTCCAACATTCCAAGAAAATTAAATTTTTCTTCCATATCAGGATGTAGATTTGATTGTTTGTTGAACTTCATCAAACATTTGAATGTTAATGTATTTAATACTTTCAATCATACATGTTATACCATTTCTCATAAGAATTAAATTATGAGAAATGGTATAACATGTATGATTGAAAGTATTAATGATTGAGTGAGATTGTACAAAATAATTCTCCAACGTACTAGATGTGATGAAACAAATATTAGCTATAATCCATACATCATTAAAAATCTTTGGTATATTGTGTAAAGCACATTTTTGGTTTGTGTATACCAAGTTTATCTCACACAAATGTAACTCATATGGCTTTTTGATAACTCATCATGATTTTATAGGAAAAAAATTACTCTACACACTATGTTCCAACATCTTCTGCTACAATCTCTACTCTCTTTAATCAATTTCAACCATTCATTGACACTCCAAGATCATACTTTAAATCAAACTTTTATTAATGAAAATCTAAATTTTCTTGAAATTTTTGTCGCTCCCTTTTTATTTAAACAGGTTAAAAAATTATCATAGTTGCACATGATAATTATCATCCAAGTTACTTTTACTAAGATAAATCATTATAGATTTGACTAATTTTCATTAGGTGGCAACATGTCATTGATCTATTTAAATTTTCTAGAAGTATTTTCAGGTTGAGATGACGACATGCCATTTGAGACCTTCAAAATTCTAAAACTTTCATTTGCCGCTAAATGAACTTTTGTCTTTGTCTAATCAATGAAATTTTCATAATTCAATCAAACTAATCAAAATCAATACGGAATTAGACTCTTTTGTACTTGGATATCTAGACTTTGATAGAACTATATCTACTTATTCTCATAGCTTAATTTAGTCATAACTAGTTAGAGTTAGTTATTTCTAAGCTATCCATGAGTAACTTCTTTATTAATTCTACTACTATTTCACATAATTAATAATCGATCTTACAAATATTATAAAATACATCTTCCAGCAAATTATGCGTTCAAACTCTTGAACAACATTAGGTCACAGAGTATCAACACCTTTGATTTTCACATGACAATCCTTCTTGACGTGATCACTCTTGGCACATTTCTAACACATCATCATCATACTCTCAAGAAATTTATTTCTAGATTTTGATCTACCCCTAGATCAAAAATACCCCTTGTTTCATTATAATAAAAAATAATCATTTTTTATTATAATGAAACAAGACATGTAACAACAATTGATAGTTTGCAGACAATAAATCAAGAAGATGAAGAGTTTTACTCTCATCAACAATCTACTCTTCAAGGTTCTGAAGGTATAAGATCTAGTCAAGTCACAAAGGAGAATTATGAAAAAAACACCAACAAATTGTTCCCAATACAATCATTTTTTGAAAATAACTTTGAGTCTTTGCAACCAGATAATTTATCTGGTTTGCTAATATTTCATATTGACCGATTTCAGTTTGATCACTTGATCATTAAGGATTTGACAAGAGCTTGTTTCATATGTACGAGTACATTTTTTGAATTGGGAAATACAAATTGTCAAGGGCAGCGGATTCGCATTAACAGAAAGATTAGTAATGTTGGAAGTATTTCGTACTTGCCGATCTTCAAGTACTGATCCAACTATCACTTGGAATGCAATTACTTTGTGATGGCAAAGTTAACCCTCTAAGGAGTATGAGAAAACTTAAGTGCAATGCGATCGTGAAGCTGGAATTTCAAATCATTTTAGCTGCAAAAATATTGAACCTACAATAACCTACATACCTCGAACATCGTGGTATCGTGATGCACATGCAAGCGCAGAAGTTTTAAAATTCAATGATCGAGCAGAATAATCTGTACAAACTACAACAAAATTTGTTATCTCTTAGGATCAAAATCAGGACTTGCTTTCCATCTTCGAGATTCACCTTGCTTTCCACTAAATCTCTATTAATTTGATCAGTTTTTTGCAAAGGTAGAATGTGTAGAAATAGGAGGTATTTATTTAATGGTAATAGAAGAAATGCATAAATAAAATAGATTCTATTATTTATAGAAGAGACTTTTCAATCCATGTTTATTCTTCGCTCATCTTCCAAAAGAAAATGAGCTACTATTTTTCTTCTTCGAAGAAGAGGATGAGCTGCAATAGATATAGAGATATAGATATATCTATATATATCTCTATATATAGAATTGATAGGTCAGGGAAGATAGCCTTGACCTCTAACCTTTGAGGATACTGAAGGCTTAGATCTTCCCCTACTTGGGTTACCATGTTTTTGAGATCTGTTATATAGCCCTCTAGTTTTCCTTCGGAACGCCCAAAGACTTCCATCATGGAAGTGACATAGGAACTCCGGGGTACCCATAGATCCTAAATTGCTTAGTGGGACATTTTAAGTTTCGTTTTACCCCATGGAACCTACCTATGGTACATGTTCTAGTATCAATAGAATTGCAAGAAATATAACTTTGTCGAAGCTCTTAAGCAACGTGACGACATCACCTCTTTGATAAAACTAAACTGCGTTGTGACAATTGCTGGTCTCTGTGAGGCTTCATCATGATGTTGTAGCAAATCCGGCCCAATAAATATGATGATTATGTGTATAATATACTTAGGGTAGAGAAATCCCCAAGAAAAGCTCTTTCACACATCTTTGTGTCCCATGGTCGTGGATCGAAGCATTACTGTCTAGTGACATCCACTCTTCGGTCGAGAATATCGTCAGTTTCCAAAATATGCCATTTGGATCACCAAACCGTGTTCAAGAACGCTGAATTTCAAATGCTGCTCTTGGTAAGGAGTTCAGCTCCTTTTCCAAGTTCGAGGTAAGAAACATATGTTTGCAGGTTATCAATGCTACGAGATTTGAGTTGATTTTTATTTCAATGTGACCACGAATGTTTATCTCAAAACTTGAGGACGGTTACCAGCCTGAAGGTTCTAGACGTCAAAAATGTTGGGAACGAGGATTGCGATTCCTCAGAAGCATCTGCACAGGGCTTGGACGGAACACATGGGCAGGTCAGGCAGCAGGCACCGAGTAATCCAATTCAAGAACTTACTGCAAAGATTAGAGCACATGAGTCGAGTTCGAACTCTGAAATGTGCCCACCACCCTTCTCCACTTCCAAGTCACCAAGCATGACCGCTAAGGAGCAGGTGGCGCTGGCAGATGCAGAAGCAATACAGTAGATGCACATAGGAGAGAAGCAGCGCTTGTGAAATACAAAAAGCTCCGAGAGGAATTCTTTCCGGAGGTGGATGACATTTCGGGCGAAGAGCTTAACGAGGCTAGGAAGCCGAGATGGCGACCGATGCTCAGATGCCGCAGGCTCGGAGATCAGACTGACCACAGTGCTGTCCAGTAGGTGGTGGAGTGGCTTCAAACCTTCGTTCGAGACGGTCATCGGCTGGAACGAGTCCCCGGATTGCAGTAAGTTCGGGCCGTCACTAAATTCCCGATTTGCAATCACAGAGTTACACTAAACCTCGCATCATATGTGTACAAGAATTTTTTTTGTAAGTTCGGGACAGTGTACCTTAAGTGGAGTACCATGGGGTAAAACGAAATTTGATGGGTCCATCAAGCAATTTAGCGAAAAGACATGACCACTACAATCGGCCATATCTGCCTTTGGCTGTCTAGAATCTCTGCTTTTTGAAACACGGAGGAGGTAGATGGACCACACTCTTTCCAACAACCACACGACTGATTTCATCGTAGCACACCGCTTCTCAATGACCTGATGAGTTTTCTAGATCGATAGAACAGGCCAACATACACACTGAGTCGTAAGAAAAGTCTACTAACTCGATATTTCTGTTTCCTGTGATCCAGCCAGAGATTTGGGAAAGGGTTGAGACTCAAAGTTCTCAGATTTTTGAGAACTGAAGAAACATCCTGCCGACCTCGAGCAAACGATCTGGTCAGCGAATCATGCAGTCTTCCGTCTGACACTCATCGCACATCCAACTTGTACTTGTAAGCTCCTCTGAACATTCTAAAATTGAGGTTCGAGCTCAGCTCTTCATTCTCAACTGACCGTTCTTTAGTTATCGTTGAACCATGCTCTGTTTAAAGACCATTACGAATATCTATTCGTTTTTGCTACATTGCACTCAATCTAACATAGCATGTACGTGGACTTTACGCTCATATAATCCTACTTGGCGTTTATATTCAGGTGGGTATGACCTGTTCAAAAGGGGGTTGGGATCTCACCCCATGGCACGGATAGAACGTTCAGATTCTAAAGATGTTGCTTTCTGAGCTGCTGTTGGTAGAAGTTGGGATCATCATGTCAGAGATACGAATTCTACTTTCATTCAAAAGAACCTGCAATTACAAACCGTGGTAGCAACTCCCTTTGCCCAGACTGTACAAAATAGTTTGACTTTAGTTATTCCGATCTGTTCTTCGAAATGTACGAACTTTGACCAGGTGCTCAGGTACCACACCCTGTGACTGAAAATTGCGGCCAGTGGTTATGATTCAGTGACAAGAATCATATTTAGAGAACTCTGGTGTTTTGCATTTCGCTCCATATTGAACAGGGGCGTTGACCTGTTTTGAAATTTTTTTATAGAATGTTAGGGCAGGTTCTGTGACATTCACAAGAGATCTGCCGAAATTTTGCTTATCGTGGTTGATCTTTTTCTGACAACCGGATCTACATGCGCGAAAGTCAGCATCTGTATAGCGACACAAGTTTCCCATAGATCTTCAGCGTATGAAAATGTCTCAATGATTACTCTAAATATGATAACTGTTGGAATATGTAATCACACGTCAATATTGACATGTACTGTTAAGACCAAACGTAAGTTACTCAAAGTGCATTGCAGGTATCACAGGGTAGAGCAAGAATGTACTTGTGTTATAGCTAGGAAATCCTGGATATTCTTCAAATGCTGACTATATGAGGAGGAGTACAGAGAATTCACAAAGATATGACACTTATGGAATTCAAGGTAACGACAGAATGAAACCGAGCACCTAAAGAACTTCGTAGATCTCACACGAATAGCAAATTTTGCTCACTGACATGGCTCACTTTCCTTTATATGTACTTCTTACAACGAGTGCAGAAGAATTGAGTTGAAGTATTTTATTTGATATAAGTTCGAAGTCAACTGATCTCTCATCCTTTCACTTCGTTCCTGGAAGATGAACCAAGTTCGGAAGCGCCGCCTCTGTATCTGGTGACAAATACTAACACTTCCTTTTGTGCACATGATTTTGCACCAAAAGTTCCCTCGACTCGTGCTACATCTGCTCTGGTTCATCTGAAGCATCAATTGACTGACCTCGCACATGACTCGTACCCGCGTCATCAGTCCTCGTTGGTGGAGGAAATCTTGTTACCAGCTCATGCAGCTCAGACCGAAGAACATCCATTTCCTGTGATCCTTTTTCAAGTGTCTCTCTGTTTTGCCTCAGAAGCATGTTCAAAGTTTCAATCTTCTCATGTAAACATGCTAGAACACCATACGAAGGAGCTAAACACGCGCTCAACACTAACAGCAGGATCCATGCCACCGTACAGACGAAAATGACTACTTGAGATTTAGAAGTCTTGTCGCTCGATGTCGAGACCATTATGCTTTTCCAAGTCACATTTTCATTCAGAGAGGTCATTACTAGCGATGTGATAGACGTCATCGGTGATTCTTCGTTACCACATTCAAGATGGATCCCCAGAATAGTCTGATCATGAAGGAAAGTCGTGTGGATATACAAATCTCAGTGATAAGACGGAGATAACCACAGGATCACAAAGGCATCGCCGATCCATGTACGTTTATGAACAAGAACCGGAAGCAAAAGCTAGAGGACCGGTGTAAGCCCCTTATCTACCAGGAGGAACTGTGTCATATCTAGTAGAGAACGGGCTCGGCCGTTTCAAGCCTGCCACCGAATTTTCAAATATTGCATCTGTTAGCGGCTTCTATGACATGTTGATTCAAGCTTTACTTTTCTCTGTTTGATCTCAGTCCAAAACTTAGGATATGTCGATTTAAAGTTCAAAATAAATCGATTGCGCTGTCACAACAAGATATTCAACACCTCAACGGACACTTCACAAAGTGTAAATCAGACAGACCTCTGCACATTCTTTCACTGTATGTAATGTGTGGGGATAGACACGTCATGTAGACGATTTTAACGGGTTCTTTAACTCTCTCTCTCTCTCTCACTAACCGGCTCAGCATTTTCCCTATGCAGTTTACACTTTATGTGGTATGTAACACTGTGTAGGCAGTCTTCCTGATAGATTTAGAAATTGCACACATTTTGTCAGAAATATAGAAACAATTCTTGATTCAGGTGCGGCTTGAGTAACCAGACCGACTCTACAACTACTGTCTTTGAACTGGTAGAGACCGTAAACGTTGCATATAAAGAGAGAGTCCAATAAACACAAAGAGATTAATTTCTTGAATGAAATACAAAAATAATTTCAATAATATTAAGTTCAGCAACATTTTAGTTTAAATATTTTATATTTAAATTAAAAAATTTCATGATAATAGTTATAGCATAACATTGTGTACATCATTATCCAGTAACTTCAATAACACCTTCTTTGAGTTAGAAGGTGACTGTCAAACTCATTAGCCCAACGCATAACACCTTTCTAGTTGGAATATGTTTTCAAAACTCATAAATCCAAAGCATGAATTATTCAACTATCTTATGTATTGGTTATCACGCAATTTCGGACCATGGGTTTCTTTCACTCGGACATGAGTGAAAGAAAATGAGTTAGAACTCATTTGCGGGACCTTTCTCTTGCCCTTCTAATGGAACCCCCAGAAGAGTGAAAGTACGTCCACGCCAATTCTTGGTGCTCTGTTGTAGTGCAACATCACTCGTTTCAAATTCATGTTCAAAATTCACAAACATGAAAAGAATAAATATTTGTTACTAGATTCAAAGTAATTTGCTAAGTTTGTGAATGGATCTAGTCATGTTGATTAATAATTTTCTCAATTTAGCATAAAAAATACTTAATAATTAAATCATGTGATGTTGATCGAAATATCTAATAGATTCAAATTAAAATAATTATATAAAGGAAAGTAAAATATTGTTTGATAAATTCAAAACTTCCTCAATACAGAGTTTGAAAAATTAAAACGCAAATTATGAGAGTAAATTACAATTGAAATAACTCAAATAATGTTAGAATCAAATACTGTTTCTTGTGTTTCACACTTAAAATACCATTCCTCTTCTTTATCAAAATCATATTATACAAAGTATTAAGAAATTTTAAGATAAAATAATTAAAAAAAAGAAAGTAAAACATAAACTCAAGAACATGATTATTCAAGTAAAATCATATTATATGTGTTTTATAGATCTCATTAAATTTTTAAAAAATGTGCTCAAGAAAAATATATTTTTTGTAACATTATGATGAAATCATGTTTTGGACTTTTTATTTGAATATTATGCATTTAGTTTTATTGAGCTTTTGTTTGGATACAAATGCAAAATAATTTTACAGATATATAAATGTTGAAATATTATATTTAATTAATTTGTAAATTTTCAACATGTTGAATCTATGAAATTTATTTTTTTAATCAAATAACATATAAAACTTGTTACTTCATTTAAGTAAATAAAATATAATTCATCTTAAAGAGAATTATTTGATCAAAAAAATTTTAAGTTTTAAATAGGATATTAAATTTCAATTTAGATTAATTCATTGATGAAATTTGCAATTAAAAAAATTATATTTTGGAATTATTGTTACAAGAAGATTTGATTAACTTCATAACTTTTCAGTATTAGTATTTTTCTAGATTAATGTTTTAACATCTTCATTAATGTATCAAAAATATATGATATAATTACATTAAAAAAAATATAACGTTGACATAGCAGAGTTAAATAGAAGCAATTTTGTTTCATGAAATTAAAAAGTTGATTGAGTGAATCTTATTTTTTTGAAATCAAAATATGATAGATTCAAAGAACATGACATTATGTAGATTAGTATGACTTTAAATATTACTTCAATCTTGTGATCCATATCACTCTTTAATCTCAAAACTACAAATAATTTATACGAAAAATCATTTTGATTTTCAGGAAAATATAACCTTATAAAATTTTATTTGGAAAGTTTTTCCTTGAATGCACACATTGAATAAATTAAAATATATCATATTTGAAAAAAAAATTATTTCTACAAAAACTTTCAATTTTTTATTTCAACAACACTTACAATCTCTATGAAATCTTCATTCACTTTTTTTATCACTTCTATTCTGCAATACATTTCGATGTGTAATTTTTCATTTCTTATGTTCAAATAATGACATCATATCTAATTAAAAAAAGTTGATTATTTAAAAAAAAAAAGGAAATATATTTATATTTATATATTTATATATACAATTTTAACTCTATATTTGTGTCTCTACTGATTTTATGTGTCTATTTAAACAAATCAATTCCTCAACACTTCATTAGTATTTTCATCAAAGTACATCTAAACTACATTTCAACATTTTTTGGAAGTTTTTAAGTATCAATCAGAATTTTCAAAATGTGGTTTTACATAGACATTTACAATTCATATTCATGATAGATCATTTCAAACTCCATGTATCTACTACTTTTGTGAGTTTTCACTTTACAAGATTATTTCATTCAAAGCAAGAGATTGCATTAATTCTAATATTATAAATTCTGTTTTTTATTTTATTATGAAAGATTGGTAACGTTTGTTGATGTTTGAGCTTGAATCTTTCATCAAACTATTTCAAACTCAATCTCTCCCGATAGTCAATGTTTTACTTTTCACTTACAATTGCTAAAATTTTATACCTTATGATTTCTTACTTTATGAAGCTATTTACTTTTGTTGTTCTTAATTTTTTTTATCTTAGCCATGATAAAATTCAAGATTTGCGATATTTTCATTGATCTATTCATGTTTTCACCCAATCAGCTATAAAACAAAAAAATTGATTTATTATCTAATTATAATATTTTTCATCATGACTTTGTATAATTATTATTTTCACAATTATGATTTTCATACTTTACATAAATGTATTCACATAAATTGAGGCTATTGAAAATTTCTTGAAGCAATTTTACAATAATTTGTAACGAAAATCTGTGTGTCTCAATACTACTCTCATTGTCAAGTCACTTTTTAGTCATAAACTATGCACTTCAATAACTAACAATGTAGAGTGAAATACGATAATGTTTTCAAAAGAAAAATGAATGTTGAAATATCTGAAATTTTTTATATTTTATCAAATTTATGTTATATATTTATAATCACAAATTATCTGACATGAAAATTGTTATTTTTTTGAAAGAAATATTTAGAGTTTCAAGAATCAAATGTTTTTGCATATTTTTTCTTGTTTCATTACTAGTAATATTTATATTATAAAAATATATTTATTCCAATCATTGTAACATTTAAGATGAAGAATAATATTCACAAGATAATATATAAACTTTGAATATGAGAGATATCTAAATTGATACTAGTTTATATATATATATATATATATATATTCCAAAAACTACACAATAATAAAATTCCAACTCGATCATCAAGTCCACTCATAATAGATCAATCACATGGCACATAAATTTTACAATCATCAAGATTGTTGAAGTGTTGATTGTTGACAATAAAAAACTCAATCATTGGATAAAAAGTACATGGATTGTTGACTTGTTGTTTTCAATTAGTACATTCAATCATTATCTAATAAGAACATAGATTATAAATTATCATTCATTAAATTAACAAATTCAATGAAAATCTATTTAGCACACGGATTGTTGACATTAGTTAGTATATTATTCCATTTTTACTGGCCTATTCTTTGAATTCATATAAATAAAGATGTTTACGAATAAATCAATCATGTTTGTGCTAACAAGCAGTAAATTGGAATACCGAAAATTAAATGATTGACAAACATGATATTCATTTTGCATGATCTTGCTGAATACAATCTTTACAAGAGAAACAATTTCGTAAAATATAAAAAAAGATTTTAAGTATTCTTTTAAACAGAATATATCAACATTATCTAGGTTAGATGTTTATATAAAATTTACTGAAAATTGAATCCTCATACATGAAATCTTGGTACAACTAGGATTATTTAGAAAATTCAGCGTTTGCTATGTTTTTTTCCCCTTTACATTAGTCATTCTCCTATTATAAGTTAGTTGTCAATCCAAAGATCTTGTATTTCAGTCTCCAGTTTGAAAGAGATAAATCTCCGTGCACTTGATTGCCGATTTATTTAGTTTTTTCATCTAACAGTTCTGTGATTACACAAAAACTGTATATAATCCACAAAAGAATGCAAAGAGTGAACGCGATTATTCATAAAGTTATATTCAAATCTCATAAGAGGACAATTATCAAATAATTTGTTTTTTTCCGTTTGCATTAAGGGTATATTGCACAACTTGTAGTTTTATTACAAAATTTAATTGTGCTCTTTTCACCATATTCTCATGATTTAATTTTTCAACAAAATGTTTTATCCTCTACTTGTTGAGTTTAACTATTAGTGAGAATAAGTCGACAATTTAGGTAAACCTCGGCCTTGTAAATCGAGTTTGAGATGTTTGAAATAGCTCAGGTTTCTGTGGTAACACGCTTTTTGTTTTTTTTGCAGAATTTAAACAATTTTAGAAAACAAGTACCGAAGCAGTGTCTGTAGTTGGAAAAGGGTACGTTAAATAGAGTGGATTGAGGAGATCGTCACGAGGTCACGAAGAATCGCGAAGTTGGATGTACCAGCGCCAAATTCCTTCGGCGCC